ACCGGTAAAGGAAAAAAGAAAGAACCAAGTGCCATTAGTAAATTATGTAATTTTAATAAAAAAAAGTTGTAAGGAAAAAAATAGAGTAAATGTGGTGGTACTTCTTCTAAATCAATGTCTAGAGTTAGATTTAATACAAATGATTCTACTTATGTTGATGATACTTCTTATGATATTGATTCAAATGTTCAACTCGATCATGAAAGTTTAGAACGATGTTATGGTGATATTAATCCTAATCTTGATGAATATTTAGGTGAAGAAGTAGAAGTTGATCCGGGAGAAGAAGATTTAGAAGATACACCTACTAGTCCGGTGACAGAAGTTCCAACTGAAACTACAAATTCAACGGAGAAAAATTGTGGAAGCCCACCCCATATATCTCCTACAAGGGAGAAGGTGAAGTATCAACGCCCTAAAACTTCTGTGTGTGGCAATTTATGACTTTAGATAAGGAAAACTCTATTGCTATTTGTAATAAGTGTAAGCAATCTTTTAAACATAGATAAGGTGGGACGGGGGGGGGGGGGGGAGGGGGTTAAATTGACATTTGTTATCTTGTGTGTCGATTAAATACAAAGAAGCTAAAGCATTAGCCGATAGGAAAAAAAGAATTCCAGTTAATGATTTTGATATTAATGTTAATGAATCGGTAGGGACTTCTAATATGGTTCAAGGAACATTAGATCCTTCTAACCCCGGTGGTCCACTAACACAACATAAATATAATAAGGAAAGAGATCGCGAAAATTTAGCTAAAATGGTTTCTGTTTGTGGTTTGCCTTATAATTTTCCTTCACATCCTAGTTTTATTGAATATATTCAACAAACTTATAATCCTTCTTTTAGAGGTTTTTCAAGAAATATTGTTAAAGCTGATGTTTTTGTATATCAAGGTAAACATTGTCAATATCTTCGTTGTTTGTTTAGCATATTAGATTGTTAATGGACATGATTATTTAACTATTACAACACATTGGATTGATCATAACTAGAATTTGCAAAAAAGAATCTTAAGTTATAAAAAATGTGTAGAGAAAAAAACTGGTGCATATTTAACTTCAAATAGTTTGAGTGTTTTAGATTATTACATGCTTATAGATAAAGTAATGTTTGTCGCATTAGATAATGCATCTAATAATACAAACGCTGCTAGTAGTTTAAAGTTAGATTATGTCCAATTGATGTTAATGTTTTTCATGTTAGATGTGTTGCACATGTATTAAATTTAGTTGTACAAGATGGTATTTCATTATTTGATTGTGGTTGTATGAAAATTGAATATGTTGTTGCCTTGATTTTTTATGCTCATAGAGCTGCTAGAATTATGGAATTTAATGAGCGTTGTGTACTATGTGATTTGCCACCAAGAAAAATTCCAAGACAGATTAAAACAAGGTGGAATTTTTTTTACGAAATGCTTTCAGTTGCTTACGAATATGAAGGACCCGTACAAATGGTGTTTAATGCTCATAATGCTGACCCATTAGATAGAATTTGTGAAGAAGATTGGGAAGAAATTAATGAACTATTAGAATTTTTAAGACTTTTTTATGATGCTACAACCATGTTTTCTGGAATTTATTATCCTACTACTTCATCAGTATCAATAAATATTTGTTCTATTTCAATTCAATTTTCTAGATACAAAAAAATTGAAAAATTTAGAGTTGCAATTGAAGGTATGATTGAAAATTTTAAAAATATTTTTTTCCTATTCCTCAAATTTAATTAACTGTTACTTTACTTCATCCTGACTATAAATTACGAGGTGTGCAGGGACTTGTTGACACTTTTTATGATACTTTAGAAATTTTACCGGAAGAAATTCCAACTTGTGAAATGTGTAAGTCTAGCATAAAAGTAGAAGCAAAAATTTTGTATGAAAAATATAGAACTACAGGAAATACTTAAGGAGAAGTTGGTCAAACTTCTAATCCTCAGAGTAAAGCTCGAATTTCAAGTTATATTTGAGGTTTTCTTGGTCTTAATTCTACTAACCGTGATGATTTTCAAGAATATCTTAATCAATCTTTAGAAACAGTGGAAGACAAAGATGGAAAATTTATTAGCATGGTGGAGGAGGCGGAGCGTTGCATTTCCAATTTTGAGCAAAATGGTTTGTGATGTTCTAGCTATTCAAGCTTCATCAGTTGCATCGGAGGCTGCTTTTAGTGCGGCAAGGTTTCAAATTGGCGATCATAGACATTCATTAGCGGAAGAAAGTTTGGAAACATCAGTTTTATTTAGAGACTGGGTCAACGCTGAGAGGAGGAATTATAATTTGCCAAAGTTAAGTTCCAGACAAGAAGCTTGGGTTAAAGCGGTAATTGAATCTAGTGACGATGAATTAGAGTCACAAGAGTTTCTAGTAAGTTTGTCAACACCGGAGGATGTCACCATCGATATGATTCGACAATTATAATTGAATTTTAAAGGAGAACACAGATATTAGATTACATCCGAGAACTAATTGAAACAGAACCCTTCCTAGAAGGTGGCTGCATAAATTAGTTACTCATCTAGTATTTGTAACAAATATTAGTTTTACATATGAGAACTTATTGAAACAGAACCCTTCCTAAAAGGTGGTTGCGTAGATTAGTTACTCCACTAATATTTGTAAATTGTAACTTCTAAGTTCTAAGTTGCAATTAGATTTTATTGAATAAATTTGAAGGCTTTATTCAAAAGTCTTTTTTATACAACTATTGTCTTGCATTTTAATTTTAATATATACATACATATTTACATATATACTAAACTAACTTTAAAATACTTAATTTAAAAATCAAAATTTTACATTTGAAATTTCAAGTTTAAATTACTTTAAAATATTTAAAATACAAATTTGAACTTCTCAAATTTGAAATTTGAAAGTTGAATTTGAAATTTGAAAACTTAAGCATTATTTATTAGCTAAAAATGTTATTGAAAACCAAATAAACTAAAAATGTTATTCAATAACATATAATTTCAATACACATAAATAAGTATATAAAAAATAAAAAATCCCACGTCCCGTCCCGTCCCGCCAAACCCCGTCCCATCCCGTATATATAGTGGGACAAGATGGGACGTATTTTTGTCCCCCCAATCCCCGCCAGCGCCGTCCCCTGTCCCGTCCTGTCCCCCAGTCTCCGTCCCCGTCCCCTTGCCAGCCCTAATAGGGTAAAAAAGTTTGCTCAATTTGAGAAAAAAAAAAGAAAATAAATAAATTATATTAGGATACATTATATTTGCTAGAATATTGACATAATGACATTTTTTATAATTATTTTAAAGTGTAAATATTTTTAATAATTATGTTAGAGATTTTGAATACTTTGCTAATTTTCCCATTTTCTAATCCTAAAGCAAATGATTGAAGCATCACTTTGTCAAATTTGCCCTCACATATTGAAATGATGTATAATAATCGAGACAAAATTTTATCCTTAATTTAATTGGAGGTATTAGATAATTGTGAGATTATTTATCTTATAATGTATACTTTTAATGATGAAATAAATTATTTTATATACATATTGTATTAAATTATCACAAAATTAATAATTGAGAAATAACTTGTGTTTCCAAGTATTAGAAAAATAATGGGATTTCATTGTCATCCCGCATCCGTGCAAAGAAAGAGTCAAGAAAACAGAAGGTGGGCTTCAGTAAAAAACCAAACAGACGAGCTTTGAAAATGGAGGGCACAAGATTATGCCACCGGAACCTCCTTCCCACTACAAAGCCCTCTCTCACTTGCAGATTTTTCTCTAATTCTGTTATTCATCACACCTCCTTCCACAATTATAAGACAAACTTCCCCAAGTTTTTGGTTTCTGCAACTATGGAAGCTTCCTTCAAGCCTGAGGAAGCTAGGGTTCCTGCAGCGCTTCCCTTGCCTACTCCTCCCGTCACCAAGGCAACTTTCTCACTTTTCCTTTTGCATTTCTATATATTTGATTATTATTCTTATCAAGTTGCTAAATTCGGCCATTTCCTTTTTGCATTTCTATGTAAATATTCGAATTTGGTTAGCATACAAAATTATGTGAAGTTTGCTTATATGTATATATAGTCAAAAGGAGGAGAAATTTTAAGGACTCATAAATAAAGCTTTAGAAATGTCTTCTTTTTCCTATTTATGGACTTGCCCATATATCAAAAGACTAATGGTGTAATATGTAAACATACCTTTTCACATTGAGTATTACTCTCAGTTGCTTTTCTCATTTAACTTTTAGAAGCTTCATTTGCTTGTCAATAACTTTTTCACTTTACCTTACTTTTCTAATAACCCTATGGTCCCTGCCTAAGTTGCTCGATGCTTCACTTTCAGTGCCGCACATGCGTTGACATGACATGGTGTGGAATCCGTACTGGATTTGGTCAACCGATTTTGGGTATTTTGACTAAAATCAACGGAGAAATTTGGAACACATATAGTGATTTTTGTAATAAAAACAAAAGCTAAGAGGTGAAATTGATATTTGAATTAGTTTTAGCCAAATCCCCACACCCGTATTTGTATCTGGATCTGTACCCCAAATCATAAAATTTATATCATGAAGCCGACCTCTAGATTCGCACCCGTATCCGAGTCCGAGCAACTTAGGTTCCTGCAATAAGCTGTTTTTTCTGCGCTATAGGTTATATTAAGCTTTAAAAGATTGTTTAATTTCCTATAGATAGGAACTTTTGGTTTCATGTTTATCTTTCCGCAGTGTAGAGCTACTTTATGATGTCATAATTTTTTTTGTGCATCAGTTCAAGATTGCTCTTTGCCAGTTATCTGTAACAACCGACAAGGAGAGAAATATTGCTCATGCTCAGCAGGCAATAGAAGATGCTGCAGACAAGGGTGCTCAGCTTATTCTTCTCCCTGTAAGTTCCTTTTATATTCTGAAAATGATGGCTGAACTATCTCAATGCAATCGTCTCTCTGGACTCCAGAAAGGTGGAGCAAATTTTGTTACAATAGGGTATATACATTTTATCTGTTTTTTACCAAGATTCATCACTGTGACGTACATGGTTTATGAGAGACTTAGAGTTATTGGGTATCAGAATTCCACAAATTATGGGCCTATAATTTATGTCTGAACTAAATTATGGTTTTAAGTGTTTCAAAATATGAAAGCATCGGAAATAGAATCTGTCTCAATCATTAAACTTTTCCTCATTAACTATTTCCTTGTTCCTTGTCCTTCTTACATTAGAAAATGGGCCTATAATTCATGTCTGAACTAAATTATTAATTTGCTTGCTGAATGTGTATAAATTCTCATTTGTCTACTGTCCTGTTGTTTGTTGGTTATTTTAGATGAACTTGGATGCATCCCTTTGTATTTGAGTCACTGAGAGAGTTCTATGATGTTTCTTTGACATTGTCTAACTCATGATGTGATGCCTGCATTCTGTCTTAATTTTGTGTACATTCACTAGCCCACTAGCTTGCTTCCATTAGTATTTCTTTTTACTCTTCGCTTCTTGTTTTTAAGTGAGGCTTAAATTAACACAATTGCTTCCTGCTATGACAGGAAATATGGAATAGTCCATATTCCAATGATAGTTTTCCAGTATATGCAGAGGACATTGATGCTGGTGGAGATGCATCTCCTTCAACTAGGATGTTATCTGAAGTTTCTCGGAGTCGAAAGATTACAATTATTGGTGGCTCTATACCTGAACGCAGCGGTGATAAATTATATAACAGTTGTTGTGTGTTTGGCACAGATGGAAAGCTTTTGGCCAAGCATAGGAAGGTCTGCATATTTCTTTCTCATTTGGAAAGAGTTATAAGAAAAACACTTGAAAAAAATGATTATGACATGGGTTTGCAGTCCAATTATGTTCATTATATCTACTATTTATCATAAATTTATTTAATTGCATGTTTGGAATTCTTAAGCCTTAGTGCCTTAACTAATTCAATTTGAAAACAATGCTTTTGCAGATACATCTCTTTGACATTGACATTCCAGGAAAGATGACTTTCAAAGAATCAAGGACCCTAACAGCTGGAGAGAGACCTACTATTGTAGACACAGGTTTGACACGCTTTTTACTGATTTAAGATGTACTCTGTTCACCTATTAAGTAGTATGCTATATAAAATTTGGGGCGACAAATCGGTTATGTCCTTGTTTGACTTGTTCAAATATAAAGTTTGAGGTATTCTGACGTAGGAGGAAAGTTGCAACCTTTTTTTCCAAGTCTGATGATGAGTCTCAATCTAGTAACCAGCATATTGTGTACTTGATCAAAAAAATAAAAGTAACCAGCCTCTGCTGTTTTATCATATTTTACTGGTATCCGCCTTTTGAAGATATCTTGTTAGCTGCATCTATTCACTTGGAAAGATGCACAGCATATTGCCAACATTTTTCTTTTCTCCTGAAATTAGTTGATGAAGATGTGCTTAATATTTCTATAATCTTATACCAAAGTACTTGCAGCCATTCAGTAGAGCTACTGTAAGTAACTAGTGAATTCCATGTGCAGAGGTTGGACGCATTGGTATTGGTATATGCTATGATATTCGCTTCCAAGAACTGGCGGCTATCTATGCTGCAAGAGGTATACTTCTCTATGTGTACTATAAATATCTTACTTTCATATCTTCTCTATATGCATGGCAGTTACTCTCTCAGTTATGTAATGTTCATCCAGAAGACCTACCCTTTCTGCCTTCTCCTTTTCTTGTGAACTTTTGGAGACCTCCAAGTTGAATTCTTCACTTCTGAGACATTGGAAGATTGTAGGTTTTGTAATCGGATATGGAAGCTTTGGCAAGTTAAAGACAGTTGAAATACTATGCAGAATATGTGGCTTGTCATATTCTCTACCTCATAAATGGACTTTACCATGCGTACAATTTATTCGTGATGTAGACGAATTGTATTCCTGTCTCATCTAGATTTTGCAAATGGAAGTAAATAGGCTATTTTATGTCTGATTTAACCTGCCGTTATGAGCTACTTTCTATTAACTACTGTTTTTTCCTGCATGTTAGGTGCTCATCTGCTTTGTTATCCTGGTGCCTTTAACATGACCACCGGTCCCCTGCATTGGGAATTGTTGCAACGGGCGAGGTAGTGATGAGTTTAGTACTACACAAGTGACCAAGTGTTGGTTTATTCTATCATGTAATAAAAGCTGATTCCTCATAACCTGTGCTAGTGTGTTACTAGGGGTGCTGAGTGCTCTGGTTACTTTATATCATTTGTTACAAAATACCATCAGGGGCTATCTTTGTGATCTTTTCTTTTGATGGTGAAGCCTTCTTAATCACAAGAGGAGTTGTCAAATATTGAGGTTCATCTTAGTTTCTGGGATTCTGTTTAGGAACCAACAACAACATACCCAGTGATTCTGTTTAGGAACCAAATATAACAACAACATACCCAGTGATTCTGTTTAGGAACCAAATATGTAAGTACCAGATGAAATTCTAGACAAATGAAATCCAAGCGGATATTTATCATTTCACATTCTTTATTGTTTGTTTGTTTATATGTCTTAGAGCAGAGATATTGAATCAAATCACAGAGTCATACCTATAAACCACTTTTTCTTGATTCCCCCAATAGTGGAAATAACAAGGGTGTCTTGTAATTTAAGAGTGTACTTTGCACCTTTCAACAAATTGTTATTGATGGTTATTGCTGACCATGCGATCTACTTGATATCATGTTGACTTTTATCATGAAGATCATTTATGGCACATGCTATAGTGATTCTTGTACTAGGCTAAGTTGATACAGCTAAGTTGTGGAAGTTGATGGATATATATTGATTTGCAAGTTTATATGAGTTTATGTTAGGATTTACTAGTTTCATTCTTCTTCCCATTGTCTTTTATCTCTTTAATACTTTTAGATGCCAAAAATTGTGCTACTTTTTTTTTTATAGTTTGTCACTCCTTTATTTTACTTTTGAAATACTAACTAATAAACTTAGGTTTCAGGTTGGAAATTACTCAACTCTATAAGGGCAAGATAAATTTATTGAATTAGGGTCGGAGGGACTAGTCCTATTAAAAACCTTTGGCTCCTTCTTGATGCATTGAAATTTGGAGACGCTCTGATCTTTCAAATCCTAGGAAGACTTGATTGCTTACATTTTCGTTCATATACATTGCAGTCAAGTTTTAATGAAGTCTGTATAATAATTTGACTTTACATGCACATAAAGAATAACTAGTAACATCTATGTTACTTGTCCTGCAGGGCTGCTGATTGCCAGGTACAACACTGATACCTATATGCTCCATTATACTCTTCTGCATTACTGTATTTTCCTTTCCATATGTGATTTTATTATGCTTTACTTGAGCCGAGTTTCTATCTGAAACAGCCTCTCTACCTTCACAAGGTAGGGGTAAGGTTGCGTACATATCACCCTCCCCAGACCCCGCTTGCGGGATTACCCTAGGTATGTTGTTGTACTTTTGTGCAATTGGTCTTTGACAGTGTTTGCTGCCTTGTTTCTTGAAATGTCTCCAAATTTGTTTATGTATGCAGTGCTTTATTTGGTGTTAAAGATTATGCTGTTTTTTTGTCTGTTGTTGGAATCTGTAAGTTCTCGTCCATGTAATCCATTATGGATTGCATGGATGATTTCAATAATTCTTAGTTTTCCAAAAGTGAAGATATTGTACTTACCCTGTTAGATGAGCCTAAGAGGTGCTTCTTTGATGTCAAATTGCTTTATCTTTTTCCTCTTTCTTTTCATGTATAGTTGACAGTAGGAATCATGTATATCGTATCAATGCATCATAGTATTACTCTACTTCTTATTAGTATCAATTTAAATGTAGCACTTTTATTTCCGTCCGTACAAAACTTAAATTTCTGAGTTGAGCACAATTTCTTCTGAATCTCATGGCTAGCGCCTCACTGATTGTATTTACTACTCCGAAGATCTATCTTATCTGTTGTGCACATATTCCTGTCAGTTGTATGTAGCAACTTGTTCTCCTGCCAGAGACGGTGGTTCTAGTTATGTAGCTTGGGGACACTCTACTCTTGTTGGACCGGTAAGTATTTAATGTCTGACGTGGCTTGTTACAAAGATCTTTTAGTTAACATGTTCCTCACGTCACTTTAAAGAAGAAACAAGAAGGATCTCAAACCATTTATTAACGAGCTGATTAATGGTGGAAAAGAAATATTGGAAACAATCATGTTTTGTAAAAGTGGCTTCAACTGTTGCTTAATATCTTATGCTTAACCCACAGACCCAAAAAAAAGGAACCTAAAGAAACTCAATCTTGCAGTTTGGAGAAGTACTTGTGACAACAGAACATGAGGAGACTACACTAATAGCAGAGATTGACTATTCAGTAATTGAGGAGAGAAGGTGAGTTCCTCTTATACCCCTAGCTTAGTTTTAGATTGAATATGTATTCACATTGTATATGTTCAGTTTGTGCATTGTTTGCTGCATTTTATTTCAATATTTCTCATCCTAAAATGATTTTTTTATGGTTAATGTGTCCTTTCTCTTGGATGATGGAGGGGAAATATAAACAGTTCTCAGTCACAACCCTTTGGTTCATGTTTAGAGCTTATCTCTAAGTTATGGTTTATCTTCTTCTGGCCCATTTATATGCTCAAAGTCGTATTTCGATGTGCAGAACATACCTTCCATTTCAAAAACAAAGGCGGGGAGATTTGTACCAGTTAGTTGATGTTGACAGATTGAACTCCACAGGGGCCAAATGAGGTGCATTCTATATTGCATGCAGATGGAATAATCTAGATAGAATTAATCAGTGATAAGAGAGTGATCCATTGAATGGCTAAAACGGCACGATTGCATATTTGTGCTTACATTGATCTCTGCTCAATTATATGCATATTTGTTACTGGCTCCAAAAATCACTACCCCTTAGATTTTGCCTGGACTGATTCACCATTGTGATGTGTGTGAAACTGCAATAAAGGCTCTTTTTGTGTTTTGATTTCTTTTCTAGTTTCTTTCTTTTGAAAATTGAGAAATTCCCTGTTGCGTTAGCTGGTCCAACTCTAGTTGGTGCACTGCTTTGCTATTGGGGTGAGCATGGACCCACTTCTCTACCCTTTTCCCACGAACATACCATGCTTTAACCTTTTCTAGTTTCTTTTTTGGTTGGTTTAAGCCATCGTAGACACCTCAATTAGAACTAGTACACTTCACGGTTTTTAGCATTTGAATCTAAAAGAAAAAATAGAGAGGCGAACTCGCTGGATGAGTGGGAAGACGGTGGGTGACGAAGGGGAAAGGGTTAGGTAGGTGATTAGGGGTTGGGTTAGGGGAGATTAGAAAATGTTTTTTAAAATTATTTTTTAATTAGAGTTCAAAACTAGTTTTCATTTTTTATAATTATTATGAGCCCGTGTGACACATTTGTCATTTTATTTGTGGTTTTTGTATAGTATTAGCGTGTGAGATACCAGTATAATAAGTTTTAAATCGATTGTCATTTTGTGAGTCTATGATCAACCATCTCTCTCTGCCCCTTTTTGCCGTTAAGTGTACTGCAACATGACTTTTAGTTCTAGCAAGGGTATTTTTTACATTATATCTACTACTACTTTTTTTCAGCAAATTTCCTTATCTCATCGGCCTCTATCAAAATAATTGGTGAAAACAAAACGTGTGGTATGTCATGATACTGCTGGTAGAAGTTGTGTACTGTGCTCAATTTATATTCCACCCCTACACCTACACCTAGGAGATACAAGTGCTTCTGAAATAATAATAATAATAATAATAATAATAACAGTTTCTAGACAAACAAGTACTTGAATATTAAGTAATCAACTCTTCTTGTAGTTTACAATAATAATAGGCAGATGTAGACAGTGAGTAAAAAGAAAACTGAACAGCACTTGCTTTGCCATTCTGGCAGAACCACACGCACGCGCGCGCTAAGCTTCCCTTTTTTTTTTTTTTTGGTTGGTTTCGTCTCGATTAAATTCGAATTGAGAGACTCGAACATGAAACCTTTAGTTAAGGTTAAAGCAGTAATTACCTGACCAAATCCACAAAAGTTCCACATTGGAGTAAAACGCAAACGACTCTGACCTATAATTAAGAATGACCGAATAGTTACCACTCCAGATTCCCCTGTTTTTATATAAATAAATGCATCCCCTTACTTGCTACTACTCAATTGCATCAACCACAAGCCCCCATTTCCCATTTTGACTTTCATTTCATCTTTCTCAGTTGTTGATCCAGAGAAGAGAAGAAAAATGTCTTCATGGGAAAAGCCAATAATACGACCTCATCAAAGGCGTAAGACACCATCGTTTTCTTCCTCTTTATTGGAAGCTATTTATCATTCAATTGACGAATCCAAAGAAGAAGAAAAACATGAACAAGTCCCAAATAAAAAGAGCAACAATGAAGAAGAAATCGTGAGCCTTCGACGTGCAATATTGATTGAGAAATGGATGGAAAGTTACAAATATACACAAAGTTCAGGACACTTCAGTTCAGATTCAAGTTCATCAACAGAGTCAAGCATGTTTTCTTCTTCAGAAACAGAGTCAAGATCCATCAATACATTGCCAAGACCAACAAGACAAGTTCGAAGATCAGACAAGGTTGTTACATTCTCTACAGATACAGATACAGATACAACAACAACTCCAAAATGTGAAGGAGGAGGAAGGTTCATGAGAACAAAATCAAGAGCATTGAAGATGGTGAAACAACCTATTTCACCAGGTGGGAAAATAGCAAACTTTTTAAATTCGATATTCAATTCGAGAAACATGAAGAAAAATCATCATGAAGATTGGAGGAAATCAAGATCAGTGAATGACTCAACTACATCTTCTTGCTTGAACAAAACCCCTTCTTCGACTTCGACAAGTAATAAATCGAAAAGGTCAGTGAGATTTTGCCCTGTTACTGTAATTGTTGATGAACATTGTGGTCACAAAAGCATATACAAGAATGAAGAACCAAAGCATCAATACAGAGGATTTTACAAAGACGAAGACGAAGATGAAGATGATGGTAGGAGTTGTGCAAGTTCTGATCTTTTTGAACTTGAGAACATAGGCATGATTGGTCATGTTCATGCAACTAGAGATGGTTTGCCTGTGTATGGAACTACTAGTTTTAAAATGAATCAAGCTATTGCTAGGGGTTTAGTTATGTGATCATCTACATTTCATTAGAGATCATCAATGTAAAACACTTCAAAATTTGAGTGATTAGTTTGTCTTCTTCTACTAGTTCTTTTTCTCCATCTTTGTATCATATTTCAGACTTACTCTCTACCTTATCTTCTTCTTCATCAATGGATCACAACTATGGGTTTACTAAGACATAGTCCAACTATCGCCCGAGGTTGTGACAGAGTGGTAAGTATTCCTCCATTCTTGACCAAATGATAATCTCAAGTTCAAGTTTTGGATATGAAGTCGTCATTGATAGGTGTTTTACTCCCAAAGTGGGAATTTTTTAGTGCAAATCTGAATTAGTTGAGCTTCAAATTGAGTATCGGAAATCAAGTGAGAAAATTAAAAAAAGAAAAAAAAGAAAGGCTAATTGGAATGGTAATGAAGTGTATAAGAATTGATAATTAGAGGCAGATCTAGAATCTAGAGTCGGTAGATTCAAAATAAGTACAATTTTACTATATGTGCAAATTTTGATTTTTTGGTATATATTTACATATTTTGAGTTGAAAGTAGTGAGTGAATTCTTGAACTTGCAGAACTCGCCTTAGATCCACATCTACTAACAATATTGTCTAGTAGGCTAGTCTATGAAACTCTTTGATTCGAAAGAGTAGTTTCAAATCTAGTGTTTAGCCCTATGATTAGATTTAGAGCATTATTATCCATGAGGTTAGGTTACTTTCAGAGGAAACAAACCTTGATATGCAAAATTAACTCTAAATCAAATGATTAAGAGAACATGTCCTAATTAAGATCCGTTTGAAGATGATTATAAGTTCCTTACAAATAAAGTGGTTTCCTCACGAGATGTAATGATGATGATAAGAATATGTATCTTTAGATTGAAGAAAAATGATTTCTTTTATTCACTTTTTTTGAGATGTTACATTTGGGTATTACTGTATATATTAGGTTATTATAATTAATAATTTAATGTTGATTTAATGTCACTGTTTAGAAATGATTTCAAAAGTTAGAATGCCAAAATGTCACATTTTAACAACCTTTTGATTCCATCAAGAAAGAAGAGATGGAAGTCCAAAAGTGACATCTTTCAAAGTAAGAAAGAAAGAAAGAGGAGAGGCAGTAAAGATGTTTGATAACAAAGTAGACCATATTTTATGATGTTGTCTCTCTTTAGAATTTATAGGGGATGAGTAGGTGTGGAAAATTGAGTCCTTAAAGGAGCACACCAAGTATGATCAAACACAAATTCGAAGACATCACAAAAGTCGTGGTGGGATGATTAGTTTTTTTTTCATCCTTAATTAGAGCTTTTTGAATTCGAATTTTAAAAATGGAAAAATATTAGAGTATGTTGAAAGTGTCAAACTGAGAAACAGGTCCTATATATTTAATCGTATCTTAATATGAGTATGGGACACCAAATATAGTCAAATAATGAGGTTCATCAACCAACCCCAACACCTCCACTCACCTCACATCCACTCTCTTTGTGCTTGTACAAATATATAAATATTCATAGGATAATATATTATGTTTGTTGATTAAACATATTTTTTAAAAATAATAATTTATTTTCTAGGAAAACATTATTAGAAAAATCATTTTTTATGAAACACATTTTCTTTTGTACCAAACACATTGTTATAAAGAAAATATGATTGGTTAAACATATATTTGTTTCTACTGCAGCCATGTGTTTGTTTGACATGAAATTATATATAGCAAAACAACATAAATTATGGTGTAGTTATGTGTTTGTTTGACATGAAATAATATATAGCAAAACAACATAAATTATGGTGTAGTTATGAGATTGCTTTATTCTTAATCAGATCTCTTATTTGAATCATGAGTATGAAGAAAATCTTGTTGGGAGCCTCACTCTCAAATTGACCCTGCAGTACATGATTTGAATTTATTCAGAACTCCAACAGACTCCGAATATCGAATGAAAAACCAAAAGGAAACAAAAAATCATATATAGCCACCAACATGGGTAAATTTTTAATTACTAAGCAAGCATATTTTTAAATTGTTAAGGATTTAAGTTAAGTGATTAGGTTCAACCGACTTTGTTACATTGAACTGTTCCAAGAGAAGGTTGTCAATGAATTATTGCCTACAAAAACAGTGTAATTAATTAGACTATATGTTCACAAGTAGGTGATATTTGTAGCTGTTAAGGTTTGTCTTGTTTATGTCCAACAAGAAGAGAAACAACAAAGATACTGTGGTTTACTCCTACACAAAAATAATATAAATATTGTTTGTCAGTAAAATGGTACGGCTAAATTTGTATGAGGTCGAGAACATGCTTCTTAACTTAACTCATAATTAAAGTTTAATTATAAATAATTGAATATTGCAATTTTAATAGATAAAAACAAAGTTATAATAATAAAGCAAACAAATATAAGACAAACACTTGATGAACAAGGAAAATTTGGAGCATAAGAATCTAAAAGTGTTGTTATTGTATATTTGTATTTCTTGGGATACAAATGACCAACAAGTGTATCAAAAATATTATTTATACATTAAAAAGATAAACCACAAGCTCTCAAGCATGTTGAATTTATATATATTTCTAGATCTGTGAACAAAATAGATAATAGTTTAGCTAGATACTCTATCTCTTTATTGAAAGAAATCTCTTGGGAGAAGTTTTTCCCAAATTGAATCATCCGGGATGCAAAAAATATGTTTAAACTATGTTCTTCGTTGATGCAATAATAAAAGAGGTTCTGTTTCAGAGAAAAAAAAAAGAACCTCCGCTCGAACTCTAAAACACTATACGTAATGGTCTAATGGAAGTTGTCCACATGAAAATGTCGTTAGTGGTGACAACTGACAAGCACTAATCCTCTATCGTACTCCAAATATTCGTTTGATAATATCTGATGTATTTGTCCTTTTAATCATGTTATCGAGATATGAACTTTCTTCATATGTTTGATTAGTTCACAAACTCTCCTTCTCTTAGTTACAAAATTATCTCTGCTGACACGTGTTCAGACCACTTGTTTATCCAATACAAATATGAATTTTGTATTTTAATACGGAATATAATTATATATACTATAAATTTTCATCATAAATACAAAATGTTGAAATTATAAAATAAATTATGGTTTTTGAAATAGATAGTGGTTATGAAAAGGGGATGATAGAAGTCAAAATAGAGGCATTATGGCGCACATGCAAAACTAGAACTTTTGCAAGCAAAGTTAAAAAGTAGATCTCCAAACTTTTGCTTTTTTTCAATATCCCACCAATCTGCCTCAGTCCTTTTCTTTATAAGTATATTGAGGCTGGTTTACCTTTTTCAAAATTAAGATGGGTGGCTTGTCACTCTTTTCTCACTTGGTCTCACTGTTATAACTATAGGCATAGGTGAACTTCGAATTTAAAGATTTTGGATGTATCAATATAATTATATCTAGTTAAACTTAAAATAAAAGATAGCGAAAAAGAGCTTTAGTTGGATTTGAACCTTGGTCTCAAGAGTGGTTTCCCTAGTTTGTACTAACAGAACAAGGGCACTCATTTGTTTTTCCTGGGTGTACTGCTAATTATATCCTAATTTAGATCAGTTTTTCAATATCTCGCAAATGTTTTTTCAAGAGAAAGTAGTTTTTGAGTGCTTATTTTAAAGTTATTTTAAAGTTAATGTTAATAACTGTTTGGTTTGGCTTATTTTAAATATTTTAAAGTTAAAATAGTTTTTAAATATTTTTGGAGTGTTTGGACAAATTTAAAAAATGTTTATAAACTTTTGATCTTAAGATAAAATGATAAAAATAAGTCAGTCAAAAAGTTAGAACTTCTAATTTATGGCTCTTTTGACTTATAAGTTTAAAACCAAAAATCCATCCAAATAAGCTCTTAATTATATTGACATTAGTTATAGTGAGATATTTCTTATGCACTATTTGATCTGATTTATTAAAAATAACATGCAAAGTGTAATACTGCTTAAGTTTCAACTCTCCCCTCGACCCCTTCTCAACATATGATAGTATCAATATAGTACAATGGTTGAAGATATGAGGGAAAATAAATTGATAGAATAGTGTCAATCACAATGTGTGTTTATTTTTTTATTTTTTTTTCCGGAAAACACTTTATTGCATTACTTTAAAACATGTTTCAGATGTCCATAAGACACCATTGCATTCATTACAACACAACTTGAAAAGGTAGAATCTCAAGAAAACCTATTTAAACATGAAATAGAAATTTTTGCTAGATTATGGGCTAATACATTCCATGTTTGAGGAATATATATAATCTCGATTTCTTCAAAAGACTTCATCAATCGCCAGACATCCTTGCAAATGGTCTCTATTTCCCAAGATGTTGTCACATTCTTTTGCAACATTTGTATGACATTCTTTGCATCTGACAATATGTGAACCTTTGACCAACCCTTTTGTAGTGCTCTTTCCACATCTTTCCAAATTGCTAGTGCTTCAGCAGTTATAGCCTTCCCTACAAATTGTATAGGAGTACCAAAGGCATGAAGCAAATGACCACAGCTATCTATAGCCGCCATTCTGATGCTTGCTTTTTCCTTCTCCCTTTGTAGACCTGCATCTATGAAAACAACCACCCATCTCGGGCCAAAGTAATGGTTACATCATAAATCTTGTTTGGTATAGGATTCACAACTGCCAAATTTTTTACAACATCGTCATATTCATGTAAATCAAATAAAGCCTTATTTACTACATCATTAGGTTGGTCATACAATTTGTTAGTATTTGACAAATATATTTGTCAAATATCACAAGTTCTCAAATACTAAAAAAATTAATATTTGGGCCAAATTCTAATATTTAGAAAAAAATTTAAAAAAAATAAAAATTACCTCAATTTTTTATATTTTATAAAAAATATCCATCATTTATTAATTTCAACTAATATTTATCTACTAAATTACTCCATTAATAATTAACAACTATTCCTCTCTGTTATCTATACAGATTGTGGCAAAAAAAAAGAACAATTTATCTTTAATAGGTTATAATTCATCTCGAGTCAATGACAAGTATGAGTATGCGATTAATGTATTGCTACTGCCC